TTCCTGAATTTGGTTTGCTTATATTTGGTTGAGAATTTTTGCATCTGTGTTCATCAGGGAAATTGGCCTATGTCTGGTTTTGGAATTAGGACAATGACAGCCTTGTAAAATGAGTATGGTAGTCTTTTCTCCTCTTCAATTTTTTGAAGTAGTTTGAGAAGAACAGACATTAATTCTTTAAACGCTTGGTAAAATTAGCCTGTGAAACTATCTGGTATAGGATTTTAGTTGGGAGTTTTTTAATTTTTATTTTTATTACTGATGAATTTAGTTAGTAGTAGTAATTGGTCTGTTACAATTTTATGTTCTTGATTTGGTGTTAGAAGAGTTTGTTTCTGGAAATTTATCCATTTCTTCAGCATATAATTGTTTAGGAGTCTCTGTGCTTTCTGGACTTGTATGTCCATTTTCCTCACCAAGGTAGGGATGTTTTCAATCCCTTGCTCTATCTCCTCTTAGTACCCCATATGATGCAAATGTTGGTATGCTTGATGTCCCAGGGGCCCCTTAAACTATCCTCATTTTTTAAAAGCCTCTTTTTCTGTCTGCTTTTCTGACTGGGTGTTTTATGCTACCTTGTCTTCCAAGTTACTGATTTGATTCTCTGCTTCATCTAATCAGTTGATGCCCTCTGATGTATTCTTCATTTCAGAAAGGCTCTTTTTGTGGTTTCAATTTCTTTGTGTAAGTTCTTACTGAATTCATCCCCTAAATTCATTGAGCATCCTTATAACTAGTGTTTTGTACTCTGTTTCTGGTAGATTGCTTCCATTTTGTTTAGTTATTTTTCTGGAGTTATATCCCGTTTTGCATTTGGGAATGTTTCTCTGTTTCCTCATTTTGGCTGCCTCCACGTGTTTATTTCTACATATTATGTAGATCTGCTACTTCTCCCAGTCCTGGCAGGATGGCCTTATGTAGTAGGTGTTCTGTGAGGCACAGTATCCTGCTTACCTGAGCCTGGTTCCCTTCGTTTAGGTTTTGTGTATAGTTGAGCCTTGATTGCTGCTGTCGGCACATCAGTGGGTGGGATTGGCCCTCAGGCTGAATGTCTGTGAGGATTGGCCATGATTACACTGACAAATTGTTGTGTGGGGCTGATCCTATGGAGAGGGAGTTGCTTTAGTGGGCTCCGGTGCCCACCCTGTCTGCCCTTTGGAAATGTCTTTTGAGGAGCTGGTTGGGTGTTGCTCTAGTGTGATCTGGGGCCTCTTGGGTGAGGCTTTGATATATAGACCAACTTCAGTCACTGCCTATGCCTGGCCTGGGGCCACCTGGTAGGAACTACAAAGTGATCTGCAAGTGGTTACTACCTGTGCTGGGCTTGGAGGTGCTTGGGGCTGCATAGCCAGAAGAAGAGGGCAAGTCGTGGCTAGCTGCTGCTGCTTTGTGATTTATGGACCTTTGAAATTTTTTAGGAAAGTCTGCAGTGCAATCCAGTCAGACTGCTTTTGTAGAAAAGCTGCTGAAAGAGGTTCCATCTGGGTGTGCGAGTTGAATAGGGTTTCATGGAATCACCAGGGTAGGACAAACTGTTATCTAGGTTAATGGAGATTTCACATTTGGCGCCCTCTTGAGCCTAGGTTGAGGGGGTGGGGCTCAACGGCATCTGCCAGCATTTCTATCCCTGAATAGAGCTACCTCTGCAGTGGAGCTCAATGTAAGTGTTTGTGAGCTACTAAGTTTGTGCTTAGGCCCTTTGAGATCTGTAGCACTTAGGTTTCTAGCAGCCTGTTGTCTTTCTTGGATACAATCCCTACTGATTTTCACAGCCAGATGTCTTGGGAACTTCTCTTCCTGGCACTAGTGCCCTGGGACTCCTCGCTCCTCGGGGTGGAACTCTGAAGCCAAGATATACATCCTGGTTCATAGCAGCCATGCTGAGTGTGGGACCTGCCCATTCTGTCTCTCTACCTCTCCTACCAGTCTCGACGTGGCTTCTTCTTTATATACTGTTACTAGAGGCCCGTTGCAGGAAGATTCCTGTAAGAATAGGGCTTCCTGTGGCCCGAGAGAAGGGAGTGAAGCCCACCCTTCTCTGCTGCCTCGGGACACTCCATCAGCGGCGGAGTGGCGAGGCTGGATCGGCCGCCGGATGGGTGGATTGTGCCTCGCCACTCGCCCCCGCCACCTGCCTGGCCAGGTGACAGGCCTGGATACTTCAGTGGTGGGGCTGAGGGGACTGGGTGTCGCCATCTTTGTGATGGAGTAACAGCTAATTTTCATATTACTCTTTTATTAGATAGGATAACAGTTCAGTTTAGCTAATCTCCAAGTGGTTCTCAATGATGGCTGTTCTGTAATTTAGTTGTGATTTTGATGTGGTTGTGGGTGGAGGTGAGCACAGTGTTTACTCTGCCATCTTAATACTCTTTCTTTGACCTGAAAATGGACTCATTACAAATTATTGTTCCTTTTCCACTACTGCCCACAATCCTGATACACCAAAGTGCCACTTGGCATAACTTATCCCATGCTTATCATGGTTTATGAAAATAGTTAAAGCACCACAAACCTTGAAGTGACTGGTACCAAGTGCTATGAGTGAAAATTTCAAGCCACAGTAGATGTCCTGGGTCAATCACTTTAAAAATCTTCCTCCGTTTTCAAGTTAAAAACTTATGAAAATTCAGGTTATATTCAGATATAGGGGAACCCTCTCTTAAGAGCACTTGTCGGTAATTAAAAAGTGATACTTACGTGGTCCTGGGGATGCCATCCCCCAATCCTCTCACCCCAGAGTTGTGTGGTGAGAATCACTCTGGTCAAAAAAAAAACTTGGACACAGAGTCTGAGTGGGTCTGGCCTGTCCCTGCCAGACCCTTTATACATCAGAAAAACTATGAAAATGTAGTCACCTATGATGCTCCATGGAAACAAGACCATAAATGATGTTCTGTCAGTGCCATTGCGTGCCCAGTTCTTTGTGAAGTCTTTTTGAGATTCCTAATAGTTGTGGAATAACCATACGAGGTCAGCAATATATCCTCATTTTTGACAGATGAGGGAATTGAGGCCCATACAAATTCACAACCTGCCCAAGGTATGGATCCCAAATACGAACAACAGCATTCTGACTCCTGAATCAACAGCACTATTCTGCCCCTTGTCAATTTCTAAAAGAGAGCCATTCAAAGGAAGATAGAGAATCAACCCAGGGGAATGATCTTGCCAGGTAAGACTGTTCCAAATACATACTTGTTTTATTTCTCTATTTCCATAACAATACAAAGATGCTCAGAACAATAATGGTTCAAAATAATTTCTGCATCATTGATATGTATTGTCTGCATAAAATTTAGGCACAAATTTTATGGACCCCTCAATGTGAATTAAGAGCTAGAGTTCATAAAACGTTGGAGTTAGAATAATTTAAAGTTACTCATTTTCTAGATAGGGTGGCATTTGCTGAGCTGTCAGGGGTTCCCAAACATGGCTATACATTAGAAACAACTGAGAAACTTCTAAAAATATTCATGCTCAAAACCAGATGAATGAATGCCAGTGCTCTATCAGGCACGGCCTGTCTAATGCAACCGCAAGACCAATTCATTCTGAATCTTTCGAGAAGGTATTGGGGTCCTGGAATTTTGGTTGAAAACCACTGGTGCAAAGAAAGAAAAATGGACCAAAATTACCTGGTTCTGTCATTAATTCTTATCCCCAGACTTAATGAACAATTCAGATACCATTTGATTGTTATTTACATATCAAAATTAGAAACAATCCAAATAACAGAGTGGCAATACACTTTGGCATCTCCACATGAACTTATGCTGTTATTAATAATGAAGTTTCATAAAACATAGGATTATGTTGATGTCTAATGCTTAATGTAAAAAGCATGGTACAAAATTCCATATATATATATATATAATCTGCACATGGATGTTTATAGCAGCTTTATTCATAATTGCCAAAAATGCGGAGGCAACCAAGATGTCCTTCAGTAAGTGAATGGATAAACTGTGGTATATCCAGATAATGGAATATTATTTAGCACTAAAACATAAATGAGCTATCAAGCCACAAAAAGACACTGTTGGAGGAACATTAAATGCATGTTACTTAAAATACATGAACTAACTGGAAAGGCTACATATTGTATGATTCCAACTATATGACGTTCTGAAAATGGCAACTCTATAGAGGAGTAAAAAAATTAGTGGTGCCCTAGCCAGTTTGGCTCAGTGGATAGGGTGTCGGCCTGCAGACCAAAGGGTCCTGGGTTCGATTCTGGTCAAGGGCATGTACCTTGGTTGAAGGCTCTCCCCAGCCTGGGTCTTGGTCAGGGCGCATGCAGGAGGCAACCAATTGATGTGTTTCTCTCACATCAATGTTTCTGTCTGTCTTTCCCTCTCTCTTCCACTCTCTAATCAATGGAAAAATATCCTCAGGTGCAGATTAGAAACCAACAACAAAATATTAGTGGTTTCCAGGGGTAAGGAGAGAAGGAAGAATAGGCGGAGTATAGATTTTTAGGGCAGTGAAACTGTCCTGTATGATACTAAATGGTGGCTAAACATCAATATACATTTGTCCAAATCCATAGAAGATACAACGCCAAGAGTGAACCCTAATGTAAACTTTGGGTGAGAATGTTGTTAATGTAGGTTCATCAGCTGTAACAAATGCACCACTCTGGTGTGGGCTATTGATAATGGGGGAGGCTCTGTTTGTGCTTGAGGTTCAGGGGACACATGGGAACTTTCTGCTCAATGTTGCTATGCATCCAAAACTCTAAAGTTTTAAAAAGTAAAGTTTATTAATTAGAACAAGTTAACTGATGATTCTTAGCCAGTGGGATTGTAGGTGATTCATTCTTCTTGCAATTAAAAACCAAAACCAAAAACAAAACCAGCTGAAGGCGTAAGTTCAAGATGAATGAATGCCAGCGCTCTATCAGGCCCAGCCTGTCTAATGCATGCCTGAGAGTTTCTTTAAGGAAATAGAAAGATCACATTTTTTTCCCGAAGATGAAAATGAGCAATTGTACTCACCGTCTTTGCAGATGGTTCCCATCTGACACATTCCTAAGTCTAGGAGATACCCACTGGGGCAGCTCGTACAGTTCTTGAACCCTGGACCATTGCACGTCAAACAGCTGGTGTCACATCTATGGGGCAAATGTAGAATTTATCATCCTTTCACACATCAGACACAGGAAAAGATGTTTTTACTACTATCCTCCTCTTATTGCCTTAAACTTAATCTCTCTTTGAAGATGACACAAAAATCTTTTCTTAAAATAATCTTAAAAGATAAGGTTTGGCAACATTAAAGAAAACCTTAGCAGGTGGACAGTGTGATTTTAAAGTACTCCTGAGGCAATTTATATATATAAATAAAAGATAAACTGGCTTAAAGCTGCAGGGCAGTTTCCATAGGTAAATGTTCAAACCTAATTTTATTAATAATTCTGAGTTTCATATTCTTTACAAAGGCAGTCAAATAAGGAACCTGGTAACCAAATGCCAGGGCTTGAGGGGCAGATCCACTTACTTTTTGCAGGATTTGTATCCATTCTCCGAAGAGTGGTGAAAGTAATAGCTGATACTACAGCTCTGCACACATCTCCCATCCTCCATGAAGTAGCCCTCCGTGCAGTTAATGCACCCATCAGCACCCGCCCCTTCAAAGCAAGACACAGGGAACAGAAAACCTCAGAAGCAGTTGTATGGTGGGCTGCTCCTTCCACAGTTTGTGAAAATGCCATTAATATAATTTTAAGAGTTATAATTTAATACTTTTGCTTTTTCTTACAGTCTTTGGAAAAAAAGCACACCCCTGTTTTCCAAAAGCATCTTTGGAAAAAAATCTTTGGAAAGAGAAGGAGATATTACTGGGGTATTCAGGTTTCTCAATGAGGATAGGATGCTGAGGCCTGACTTTCGATGAGAATACATCATGATTATTGGAAGAGATAGTTTCAGAGTAACAGCTGGAGAAGTATATATCAAGTGGGTCTGCATGAGTGACAGCTAAAAACAGACAAACAAAAGCCAAACCAGAGCCAGAGGAATAAATGCAAGGACTGGGGGAGAAGGTACCAGCACAGGTGGCGCAGAAGCGGTGACAGGGCTGACAGTCCTGGCCGTTGAAGTACTGTCCGTCCTCACAGGCGATGGAACACCGGGATCCCTGCAGGCTGAGGACATAGAGTGCTGTGATCAAGGCAATGAGGTAATGACTCCCAATTCCATATGTAACAAACACAGTTCCCCCTCGCCCCCCACCCCGGACCTGTGGATTTGGCAAAGCTTCAAAGCATGGAACTAGCCCTTGTGCCTTCCATTTTTCCCCTCTCTGTGCCTTATTATAATGATGTCTGTATAATATGCATGTGCTGCAGGCTTTGGGGACAGTCCTCTGAGCTGTTAGACTGGCTGACACATCTTACAACCCAGAGGTTTTAAAAAGTATTTTATGGACAAAACAATCGCATTACCTAATAATGTGCCTAACTATTTCCTGATATCCAGACCTACTACATAATATATTTAAAAGTTGTTTCGTAATTATAAATGCAGTAGGAACACACAGTAAATGAATTATAATTGAATTAGAGGGCACAACCATTCCTACCTAAACTCCCAGGAGTAGATTTTTTTATTTTTAAGTGTTTCTGATTTTAGTTCTTATTGGTTCCCACAACAGAATTTTAATACACTTTGCCTCTATTTCTTGATTTAAACTCTAATGAATAATTTAGCTCAATTACCTACCTATACTGCTGCTTCCCCAAACATCTGAACTTTTCTTAGTTATATTATTATATTTAGTTTTTCTAGAGATAATCTGTTCCACCTTTTTTCCACCTGGCACACTTAGTGTTGAATATTGAATAAGGACTCTGTATTTTTTCACTCTCCTAAATTCTGTCAGCCATGGTCTTTCTCATAGTCTACAGATGGATTCTGAAAATTCAAAATAAATTAATAGAAGTTTCACTATCCAATATACAGATATTACTCATAATAACTAAAGTGTGACTGGAACCAGGGAGAAGATGTAATCCTATGTCACCAAGTAGAGGATACAGTGGGGCCTTGACTTACAAGTTTAATTCGTTCCGTGACGGAGCTTGTAACTCAAATTACTCGTATGTCAAATCAACAGTGAACGAGTGAGACACGTGATGCTGGGCTGATGTTGTAGTGTTCACTGTGACGTTCGCTGTGCCAACTAGCGGTGGGGTATCTGAAGCTGGCTCGTAACCCGAATTTTAGCTTGCAACTCAAAGCAAAAAATCAGCCAAGAGACTGCTTGTATCTCGAAAAACTCATTAGTCGGGATACTCGTAAGTCAAGGCCCACTGTACTGAAGAAGTGTATCTAAGCAACAGAGTCAAATAGGTTCTCTTTTCTTAAACTCCTCACACATTGCTCCAATTCACATCTGATTTGACTTTGCTGTATGTATATGTATTATACTAATTTTACAAAGTAAAATTTATTTCCATCAATAAATCTGGAAAAAACCAAAGTAGATGAAAAAGAATCCCAAACGGTCCTGTTAACATTTTAATCCATTCCCTTTCGTATTTTATGCAGAGATATTTTTCCATGTTTGTTCTTAGCCACTCTGTAAAAATTTACAGGTCTTGAGCAAAACGGTCAACTCAGAAGCCCCTAAGGAAAATACTGAGAGCCTCAATGAGAGCAGCAAACTGAAAGTGTTCTCCATTCACAGATATCCTCATTGGCCAGAGAGCTATCATTTAAAAAGAATATTCCTTCTGCCCTGGCCAGGTGGCTCAGTTGGTTGGAGCATCATCCTGTATACCTAGAGGTTGGTTGTGGGTTTGATTCCAGTTTCGAGCTTATATAGGAGGCAACCGATTAATGTTTCTCTCTAAAATCAATTAAAAAAAAATCCTAGGTGAGGATTTAAAAAATGTTTAAAAGAATATTCCTCTCCTTTCGGTAGAGCTGGAAAAAAGAACAATGCATCAAATGGATCTTTTTGTGGGAGGAAACAGTACCCCCAAAAATTGTATCCAAGTTTTAAAAGCTGCCTAGTTTTTCTAATAAAGGACATTACCTCTGAGGTTGGCATTCACCCAGCTGGAGACAGAGGCAGCACTGTGTGAGAAGGGAATGAACTAAGCGGGAGGTACAGCAGAGGCATCACTGTGAACCCTGAAGCTTTCGCTGCTTCCAGCCTCAGGGATGGCCTGGTTAATGAAGCTGGTCCTGCACACCTGAGTTCTGTCCGTGATGAACCAGCGAGGTTAGACCTGTGCTGTTCCCCCCTGCTCAAGCACTGGAGCTCCTAGTGTGGCTAAGGAATGGAATTCTAAATTTTACAAATTAGCACTTAGTTTAGTTATTGGCAAAATTTTGAGTAAGTTTGGAATGGAACAACTCGGCTACTTCAACTAAATTTTATAAAATCTAAATACAGATTAAAAAACGATTGTTTGAATTGAGATGTGGTTTAGAGGTAAAATACATACCATATTTCTAAGACGTGGTACAAGAACAAAAGTAAAATATCTTTACTAAAAGTCTTCTATACTGATTACATGTTAAATGATTTTATGAAAATATTTAATTTCGTTTCATGTGGCTACAGGCACATTTAAAATTAACATGTGGCTCTCATTTCTATTGGAGAGCACTGGTTAGCTTATGTTTCTTAATCTTAAAAAATCTTTTGTTTCTCATGGACCAATTATGTGTCAGATACTGGACTAAGTGCTTTGTAAATGTCATCATAGTTAATCCTTATCATAAGCCAGAACACAGGGGTTATCACCTTATCACCATTTTATAGATGAGAAAATTGAAGCTCAGAGTGGCTAAGTGACTCAGCCAAGGTCACACAGCCGATAAACAGCAGGGGTGGGTGAGTCCTCATCTGCCTTCCTTCTTTTTCTTATTATACCAATATGCCCCTTCTCCAAAAGGAATTAGGCTGACTAGACTGATATTTGTCAAGACTGTCATGAGATGAAAGGTGCTGAACAAACTAACACTGAATGCATTTATGAAAAGTAAAAATGCTGTTGCAATATTACTAATGTGAAGCACTACCTGCCTGACCCTGCTTATTTCACCTCTAATCAAAGGTGGTAGTAGAAATACCACCAACATTTAAAAAGGGATTGAGTGCAGCAGAATTCTAGCGCTGTGCAAACCCGGAGCCCAGCTCCTCACTCGACGTAGGATGGTTTGACCCGAGAGACGACCTAATTAACTTGAGCTGGATGTTGTTCTTCTACAGAATCTATCAACTACAGTAAGTCCTCTCTTAATGCTGTCAAAAGGTTCTGTGACTTTAAGCAAAACAATGTATATAACGAAATCAATTTTACTATAGGCTAATTGATATAAGCCAGAGCTATCCCAGGACCTGCTGTATCTGGCTTTAGCCATGAGCAAGTCATCCATTCACGGAAAATATCTCTAGGTGTTAAAGCTGTTTGCAGACAATGGCATAATGGAACCAAGCCTGGGTTTCTTAAGATAAGAGAATGACTGGCTATATGGCGAGAAATAATAAGGGGATCGTTTCTGACCATCACAGGAATGAATCAGGAGGATTAAATGTAACTCAGTATTACCTAAACAATAATCCTTGACTGGTGCACTGCCAGTTTAAAAGTACAAAGAAAGCCTCTGAAATGGCCATTTTATTTACTTGTATCAGAGCCATCTTTTCTAAAGAGAATTTTATTTTGTATATTAAACCTTCCTTAGCCAAGATGGCATCCGATTTTTCACATATAATGGTAGAGATAATGCAAATGTGAGTCAACTCAAGGGTGATGGCAAAGGGTTATTTATACTGAGACGCTCCTTGGGCTGTGTTACTTATACAGACCTTCACCTTCTTACCTTAATCCATCCCTACATTCTGTACAATTGTGGGAGTCAGTACATGTCTTGCAGTTTTCACTGCATTTCCGGCAAATATTTTTCTCTGTTAAAAAACAACAAAAAGGTTATAAATTAGTTGGTCAATTGGATTCCATAAAAGCATGTGGAGATGTTCCAGTGTATGCTGTAGTACACATGGACTTGAGCAGAAAATTGTAGGAAAAGCTCTCAGTCAACATTTGCTATCACTTTTTAGCAAAGCAACTTAGGGTAGGAATTGTAGCACTGACAAATACCTTAGAGTTAGCTACCATTTTGCAGATTAGAGAACTACAGCCCATTTAATTCTTGGTTGCATAGTTCATTAGCCTTTCCCCTCCTCTTCCCATTCTCTCTCCCAAGCAGGGTTTCCTAACTTCCAACAATGAAATAAATCCCACTAATGAAGCTGGGCAACACCACCATGTCAAGGTTGAAAAGCCATGCCTCCAGCCGGGGAAAGGAATGGCAGACTCCCATCTTTTAGGACTACTCTGATGAACTCTACTACACCACGGTGTGATACCCTTGTTAAGACAAATTATGGAGAATTCAGAAGGCAAAAAATGCCTGTAGCCCTTTTCAGGGCCACGACAGAGCACTAACAGGTAGGTATGCCCAAGGATCATTTAATTCTCCAGAGAATGTAGTTTTGTCTGTTTACTAATGATGGTTAATTAGTCCCCAAACTCTGTGAAATACATGCTAATTTACAGATTTTTTTGGTTTGGTAAACTTGCAAATGATATGTCCATTTGAAATAAAGAACCCCAACATTCTAGCTGTATTGATGGCCATGTCGGAAACCATTTGTCTCTAACTCAGCAAACGGGTTTTATTTTGCCTTTCCTAGTGGCCTATAATCCCCGGCAGTCTCTGAACCCATTTGTTACCTTGCAGGTTCACTCATTAATGGGTAAAGTAAGTCCTTGGCATGTGTTCATTCTTCACTTACATGAAGGTCATGTTTTTTAAAGTTTGAAAAGTATTCTTTGGTATCACACCCTGTTTCTTTGGTTAGTGTGCAGAAAAGAGCAGGCGTGGTCACTGTCTTCTGAAAGTCTACTCAGAAGGTTGTGAACTTGGATTTCAGGAGGGTTTCCACCCCCCTAACAGGTAAGAGTGAGTCAAGATGCCTGAACTGTTTGTATAAACAGTATGGTCCACACTGAACCCCTTCTTTCCTTATAGGAGTCTGAGAATTTTGGTAAGGGCAGGGCAGAGGGTGCCTTCATGACCACACTCCAATAACAACCACAGCACAGAGTCCCAAGGAGGTTCCCTTGTGGAGTACATTTCACTCATGTTGTCCATGGGGAAACAAAATGTATCCTGTGTAGCTCCACTAGGAGAAAACTCTTAGAGCTTTTTGGGCCTGGTTTCCAATGGACTTTGAACCTTTTCCCTCTGCTGATTTATTATTTTTTTTTTTGCTGTAATTAATCATAACTGAGCACATAAGCACAACTATATGATGAGTCTTGGGATGCCTAAGTCACTGAATCTGGGTGTGGGCTTGAGGACCCCCCAACACAGTTAGTTACAGGCCTTTTAATAAAACAATTCTAAATTGTTCTCTTTAAAAATTTGATTAGATCCTGCTTGATATTAAGCAAGGCCTAGATTTGACAGGGAGGAATATTCCTCCCAAGGTCACTCAAATGAAAACCTTTCATTTGTTCTCTAAAACCAGCTATTTGAAATAAACTCACTGGTGTCCTGGTATGATCCATCAGGGCAGTGAGGGACACAGCTGTTGGTCTCTTCGCTCAGGAAGTAGCCATGTTTGCAGGACAGGCACTGGTCGCCATGGCTGCCAAAGCACGACTCACAGTTGGGAGGACACTTCCTGCACCGCTTCTTGTCGGCGTGGTAGTGGCCCGCGGGGCAGCTGGAGACACAGACCCTGCGTGGGGAATGATGAGAAAGAGGGGTGGCATCACCAGTGACCAGGTTCTCGGTCTCAAAACCCTTTTAAAACCATGATGGCGAGTAACGTCACAGCCAAAGGGCCCAGTTCTGTGGGTTACAGCGTCTTCCTGTGTAGGGTGCTGATGCAGCAATGCAGTCACACAATACCAAGTCCAGGTAAGGTGTTCTAGCTCTTAAATGGGGATGATGGTTACAAATTGAGTCTCAAAAGGAAGGTTATGGCATTGAGTTGAAGGGGAAAATATGTGGGAAGCATGATTTTGTGCATAAAGGTCACTCACAAGGGGTTACTTTTATTTTGGTTTGTCACATGGATTGTGTGTGGGAGGTGGTGGTTATATGCTACTGTATTAATATAAATATATTTAAATTTATGTTGCTTATGATAAACAAGGAACTTATTTTTTTTTTTAAGTTTGATGGAAGGACAAGGCTTTATTTATTCATTCAACAAATATTTACCAAGTACCAATTGAATGGCAGGCATTTTGCTAACAAGTCTAGGAGACAACAGAGGTGCTGAGTAGCCCAGGGCCTTTCCTTTGAGGAATTTAAATTCCAGCTAGAATGGAAACAGGAACTGGAACATGTCTGTGTCTGTTGGGGTGACGGGAGTGTGGAGTCGCCACAAGTCAGCTCCCTGGAGGGAGAGGTGGCAGGGATGTGAGTCATGGCCTCTCTTGGGACAACCACTGTTCCATGGCCCTGCCCTTAGACACAGATCTGTAGAGCTGGGGGCAGAATCCAGGGGCCCAGGGTCAAAGCAGAAGAGAGGAGCGGGGACCAGCACCTTTGCCACGCAGAGGATTTGCTCATGTGGGAAAGCACCCATTTGGCCCATGCACTGGCATTTTCATGAAGGGAAAATGCTAGAACACTGTCTCCTACTCACTTTATAGTGGCAGTGGAATTGACATATCATTCCATTTCAAATAATATCTGTATTCTGGAGAATAACAAATATACTGTGAATACTGGCTTTCCTGTTTAATATCCAGCACAGGTCCCAATTAGGAGAAAGAAAATGGCCAATGCATGATTGCTCTATAACAGTGGTTTTCAACCTCTGGCCCTTTAAATACAGTTCCTCACGTTGTGACCCAACCATAAAATTATTTTCGTTGCTACTTCATAACCGTAATGTTGCTACTATTAGGAATCGTAATGTAAATATCTGATATGCAGGATGGTCTTAGGCGACCCCTGTGAAAGGGTCGTTCGACCACCAAAGGGGTCGCGACCCACAGGTTGAGAACCTCTGCTCTATAATGAAACATAGTGAATTGTTATAATAAAGTAAGGCCTTTTATTTAGGTGAAAATTTTCTGGAGACTTGATACCTCCTCTGAGATGCAAGTAGATTCTAACCACATGTATGTGTCGAAATGAATGAAGCCTCTCTTCCTCCGTCTAGAAATGTTGGTGTTCTTCAGGGTTCAGCAGAGAATCACTGTTCATCTTTCTGGTGGTTTGGGGTATTGCAGCAGAGTCACTGTTCATCTTTCTGGTGGTTTGGGGTATCTATAGAGTTCTCCCTCAACACTCCATTTCAAATGAATCAATTCTTTTTTCTCTGCACTTTGTAACTCGATATTAGTTTCACCATTTTGAATTACACAAGGAGGTATCAGGCTTGTACAGTGGCACATTTTCTGTGCTTTACATCCTAATGGGGAACCGATAATGCCTGGCCCGCAGTGACCCTGTGGGAACTCCCTGGGTATGCTGAGGGCTCGTGACTTGGCTTTTCTCTTACCTGGTGTTGTTTTTCAGCTTGTAGTAGTAGTGCAAACAGTCATTGCAGTGGTCCGGTCCTGGCCCATCACAGCCAACCTCACTGCACTCAGGGTCGCAGGGACCTTTCCAGAAGAAATTAGAACAACATTTAGGAAAAAAATGACTTTAAGTAGGTTGGCTTTATCTTGAATTTGGTATAAAATATTTTTTTCTTACACAGTGAAAGTTTAAGAAGGAGGAATAATGTTCAGAGTGACTGTAAGCTCAGAGACTTTTGGGGGGAAACCTCAAGTATCAAGAATGTAAATCCTAATCATGGCCTGGTCTTTAAAGCACGTATGGCTGCCTTGTGGGAGCTAACAAGTATTCCAGGATTCAAATGAACAATGCCACTGTAGTAAATGGAAAAAACCCGATCACAATTAAACATGCAAACAATAAAAAATGTTGGACTCACAGAAAAAGAAAAAAGTGATTATTCAATGCTTGGACCAGATTGCCTGTCTTTTCCAAGCATTAAAGCCACAGAATACCTCTGAGATACCATAGCTAGCAAGGAACAGCATGATGGCACCTGGAACAAGCTTACCGGTTTCTAATCCTGGATTACAAAGTGGGTACAGTGGGGCCTTGACTTACGAGTTTAATTCGTTCCGAGACTGAGCTCGTTAAGGAGCTCCTTAACTCAAATTACTCTATCAAGTCAATGCAAAAAATTGGCCGAGAGACCGCTGGTATCTCAAAAAACTCATTAGTCGGGACACTCGTAAGTCAAGGCTCCACTGTACTTCAGGCACGGATAATAGATTTAAAGTTGCATCCTACTCACAGGCCAATGGGCAACTCAACAAAAGAAAAGTACACATTACTTTTAAAAATGCGATGAAGATTCCCAATCTCTCTTCTTATGTATTCTTCAGTATAGAACTATCAAGAATGCAGTCAGGGGAAAAAAAATCCAGAAAGATGGAACTATTTGGTGATTGGTGAAAAAAGCGTTCTAATAATGAGGGACAGTTATAGACATTTTGCTCTACTGAACTCCCTCCCTTTTTCCTTGTTCTCTATATTTTGGTACATTTGGTCTCATAATCTTAAAGCTCTTTCCCATTGAAAATTCATATGATTTTAACTAGTAGTAAACATAATGCTTGAAATGTACAAACTATATGTCAGTGGTGCCAGAAATGTTTTAAACCAAACTTTATTTTAATCAAAAGGACTTACTGGTTGAAATGTGGCCTCCTTTAATCATTATGAGACTATATTCTACAATTACTGCATCATGGGAATGTGAAATGGTAGAACTGAGGAAGAATGACTCAGAAAAATCTAGTAGTCAACACCCTCGTTTTACCAGTGAGAAACAGATTTTCCAAGAGTTACAATGGCTTGCCCGGCAGCAGACAGCTGGAAGAGTTGGGATCAACATACGTCCTGATTTTCAATCCATGTCTCCTACTTAGAGAGTAAGTCATCTACTAGAGATGAATGGAAATGAGTCATTTTGAAATACATTTCTGATAAAAAATGCTGTCAAGTGACTTTTGTGGTTAATCTCTATTTTCCTAAAAGCCTTAAAATTGACCTCTTAATTAAATTCTATAGCCAGTCCAACCTGGGACAGGTTAGCTGTCTGCTTTGGTACACAAGAAGAGGGTGTCTCCATCATGGAAGGGTTGCTATTCAGCCAGCTCTGGGTTCCACGCTCCCTGGAATTCAATGTACAGTACAGGGATCTGGCTGTGCTAATGCCATCTGTGCCTCTAGCCAGCCTGACTTCTTTAGAAAGGTAAAAATCCCAGCTCCAAAGAAGAGTCACGAGTGACCCTAACTATTCACCAGATGATTTTTATAATTACCACCCCTCCAAAAAAAACACCCCCCACAACAACAACCCATTTAGTCTTGATATGTGCCAAAGGGCCCTGCATGGTAATTTCACATGCTGTGCTGATTCTTTTATAATTTAAAACTGTCCCAGATGCAAATTAGCATTTTAGGTTGCAGGGTGATAATGAAATAATTGTTTTTGTTCTCTCACAAGTGCCAGTGTGGACATTTTGAGGCGGTAATGAGAAAAACCACAACAGTGTATGTATAACTGTTCAGAATTTTAACATTTCCAGAATTTGAATTGGAAACATCCCATAAGGAACATAGCAATAGGTTACTATTATGCTCCATTTATGGTTTTGGATATACTTTCTCCTATCAGAGAATACAAAATGGTTTACTAGCCACAATATGCATAGCACTGTTACAAGCTCTAAGCAAAATAAGACGAAATCTAGCTGTGGTTAGTTGAATTAGACTGAATTATCCAAGCTTAATATTGACTCTGGGATATTACCTGTTTAGAATAGAAGGAAATAGATACATTTAAGATATCCTTTTAGGGTGATTAATATCTAAAAAGAGAACTTCAGAGAGTTGCAGGAAAAATATATTTCTCCTGTAAAGGTACACTAAACTGCTATTTAACAACAGTCTTTCATTAGAAGAAGCTCTGCACACTGTGTTACATATTATATCCCAGAAAAATGGAACGTGCCCGGAAAGGTCAGCCAGTGCAACAAGACAGGAATCAGAAATACATTGGGAAGGAGAAAAAAATGCAGATAATATGGCCATTGTACCTAAATTGCCCCAGAAGAATCAACTCTAAAACATATAAATTTGTAAGAGAAATTAGTAAAGAGTTAAGCAGAAATGGTCAGATATATGATAAATATGCAACAGCCAGTAGATTTCCTATAGTAGATAGAAAATATGGAATATTTTCCACTAAAATAGCAATAAGAAAAACGCTATATAAAATTAAAAGATTTCTTTCACAGACACTAAATTTCAGAAGTAAGTGATAATTGAGAAAATGTTTTCAGCAAATAAGAGACAGTATGAGAGGCAATAACATACAAAGAATTCTTATAAATAGATAAGAAAATTGCTGCCACTTTGAATATAATGGGTAAAAGACAGTTGTATTTAATTCAGAGAAGAACTGCAGTTAAATCCTTACTTAATGTTGATAGATTCTTGGAACTGCAGCAAAATGACATGTAAGGAACTCAATTTTACCACAGGCTAGGTAATTTATATATATGAGTTAAGTTCCTACAGCAGCTCATTAATGTTATGTAATGAACGAAACGATGTTATCTGAGGACCTGTACAGACAAAAAATGTTTAGATATACTAGCAGTCAAAGTTATAAAAATTGTATTATTTTTTTTTCTATACACTCAATTTTCCCAGGATGAGTGCAGTAAACACTCTCACATCTGGTCATAGTGTAGACTGATACATCTTTATCTAGAAGGCAATGTGACAAAACATATCGAAGCCCTAAAACTGGTTAATCCCTTTGATTCAGTAAGGTGTAATCATTCTCAGAACAGAACTATATTATAAAAAAACCAATTAACGATATCAACCAAACTGATAAATGATGATATTCATCCAAACCTTTTTTAAACTTGTGTAAAACTCTAAGCAAACTACACAGACCAGATTATGGATTAAATACATTACAGTACAGTCATAGGATGGACAATTATGCTGTCCTTTAAATATGTGTCCTAGGCATATTTGACTATTTTAAGGGGAAAAAAGGATATGGAAACTCTATATAGTGTGATTTAGCTTTGAAGAAAAAACATGGATATTTGAATATGAGAGTGTATATATATATATACACACACACACACACACACACACACATATTTGGGGGGATAGAAATGATGAAGAAAATACATCAGAATGTGGTAGAAGTTTATCTCAGCATGGTGGGATGATGTATGAGAGATCCCTCCTTAGCCTTTGTCCCTGGTGGAAGCCAGCTCACCTGCATAATCCTCTGTACCGTAGTCATCGGTGGGGTCTTCGACTCGGCTGTAGCGGACACGTTCCACTTTAGGAAACTCGTTGGTTGGTGAGTATGGCTGGACGGAGGTGCCATAGAGCACCAAAGACCATTCTTTCAATTTACCTAGGGAAACAAAAATGAAACCACTGCATGACCAAATATTCACTCTTTAGCTTTGTACTTTATTTCCTTTTCACCTAAGAAAAAGCATCAGTAGAATTATGGGAGACAGATTCATATGAATCGTTACTTCATATACAGGGCTAGAAATACACATTTACTACTGTTTGCAGAATTTATGCACTATAATTCACGCACTATGTATTTACAGAAAAAACAATGAACGATATTGACAAAGACTGATAAATGATGATATTCAGGATAGGCCTTGATTTAATCAGCATTTATAGTTAGACTAAGAGACAAACACCTCAGATTGCTGGGCTGAATTTCAAATGATGGATATTTAAAAGAACCCTAGAATTTCACAGCTTTTCCTAGGTATTAAAGTCTTATTTGAAAAAAAATTTCAGGCCCTGGTTGGTGTGCTTCTGTTGGTTGGAATTCGTCCCACGCATGGAGAGGTCAGGGGTTCAATTCTCCGTTAGGGCACATGCCTGGGTTTCAGGCTCAATCCCAGTAAGGGGCATGCAGGAGGCAGCTGATAGATCAATGTCTCTCTCTCTCTCTCAAATCAAAAACATATTAAAAACATTTTTTGTGTTTTCTGACTTATAAATAAGAAGACAAAAACAATGACTTTGTTCCACATGATTCCTGAAGCAGTCATTCAATCTTTAGAATACATCACTACTTAGTTATCCTATAAACCCGATAGCCACTAGATACATGTGGCTATTTAAATGAATTAAAATAAATAAATTCAGTTCCTTAGTCACACTAACTACATTTCAAGTGCTCAATAGTCACATGTCGCCAGTGGCCACTATAATGCAAGCACAGACGGAGAATACTTCCTACATTGCAGAATGTTCTACTGAGCGGTTGTAATACATTTTCTGATCAAGGGTGCCTTAAGACACGAGATAAGTGTTTAACCTCATCTGGATAGTATGTTCACAAGGAACATTTCTTTTGGTTTAATCCCTATTCATTTATTTCTTAGATTTATAAAATTAAAGTCTTTACTGCAAAAAAAACCAACAAAAAAACCCCAAACTGCCCCCGGGGCCATTAAACTTAATAAGATTCACATAAGAATCAACCATAAGCAGAAGTGATTAATAAAAAACATTGAGAACACAGAAATATGCTGATAGGAAGGACTACCCTTAGGAACCTCCCCACACAGTGGCCTAATACACAGTCCAGGCATGGTTCAGAGCTCTCCCACAGCAAGACAATGGTGAACTTCAGGTGTCATCTAGTTCATCTATTAGCATCTATATCATCATCTAATTGATGCTTATCATTCTTAAGTGCTTACTACATGCTAAGTTTTATCCCATTGTTCATAACAACTGGGATGTAGCTGCTTGAATTCCCAATATAGTTTATGTAAACAGTGATGAGGAAACAGGCACAGAGGTTGATAACTTTCCCACGGCCAGTGAGAGGAGAGATTAATATTAAAACCCATCTAGGCGTTCCCATTTAAGATGGCGATGTAGGAAGATCCTGACCCACTTCCTCCCACAAACACACCAAATCAACAGCTACATATGGAACAATTTCCTCTGAAGGTAACCTCAAAACTAGCATTCCTATGCATTAGGCAAACAAGAAAAAGCCCATATCCACGTGGGTAGGGGAGGCTGAGACAATCTCACCACAAACCTCACCCCTGGTGTGGTGAGAAAGTGGAGGGAACTCAAAACCCAAGCTGCTCCATGAGGAACAAAAGGTTTAAATCCCACATTGAGCACCCCAACTTTTAATACCAGCACCTGAGGGCTGAGACCCACAAGGTTATAGCAGCTGAGAAGCAGTTCTTATAGAATTCCAGCAGACTCACCCACTCAGGGTGTACCACAGGGGCAGCCAACAGAAAAGCACCTAGACTTTCTGTGAAACAGGCTTATTTGCTTATCTTGAAGCATCTGCCTGGGGAGAAGGCATCTGATTTAACAGCATCTAGAGGCCTACTGAAATACTCTGCAAAGATGGAGGCCCACAGGTACCACCTTTGCGTTCTCCCTCTACCTCACCTCACTGGTATCTTCCAGAAAGGAGCTTAAAGACTTGTCAGGCACTGCAATTTTTGTGGCTGCCACCCACAAAAAGTGGCCCGCAGGGCTTATATTTTCAGGTCTCCTAGGACTGTAAACAAAATTGACAAGCCCTTAGACTCACTGAGGAGAAATGAGAAATCAAGTAAGTAAAATCAGAAACGAAAAAGATGTTATAACTGATACCACAAAAATACAAATGTTCATAAAAGCCTATGAATAAATAAATGCCAACAAATTAGAAACAAAAGAAATGGATAAATTCCTAGACACATACACCATACCATGACTGAATCATTAAGAAATAGAAAGTCTACTAGTAACTGACCAATTACTGGGAAAGAGATTGGTAAACATAGATGCAAAATCCTCAACAAAATTAGGAGCAAACTGAATTTCATACTACAAAGATCATACACTATGATCAAGTAGGATTTATTCCAGGGATGTAAGGTTGGTTCAATCCATCAATGTGATACACGACCTTAACAAAACGAAGGATAAAAATCATGATTACCTCAAATGCAGAAAAAGCACTTGACAAAATTTAACATTCACTTCTGATAAAAAAAAACAACTCTCAATAAAGTAGATATAGAGGGAACAGAAAATAAGGCCATATGGCAGCTAATATCGTCTAAGGTCAGGAACAAAACAAAGATGTCCACTCTTGGCACTTTTAGTCAACATAGAATTGGAAGTCCTAGCCAGAGCAATTAGTCAAGAAAAAGCAATGAGAGACATCCAACTCAAAAAGGAAGAAAAAAACTGTCACTATTTGCAGGTATCTATACACACACACACACACACACACACA